AGGTACTTATATCCTTATCTTACTTTAGCAGTTCCATTATCTTGTAATCTAGTGATCTAGTTCCCTGCTCCATATACATGTTTCACTTGATACTTCTCATCATGGTAAACACTGTATTGACTAATGCCTGTTTGCACTTGTCTGCTTGCATCAAATTCATCAATCTGTTCTTGCCTAGTAACAGTTTTAAGGGTTCTTTTTGACAGGCCCAAATTGTGTTTAACAGTGTCTTTGTTAGACGCGAGTTTGGCGAGGGCATCAACTCTGTCATGTTCTTTGAGGCCTGTGTGAGAAGGGATCAACAACAGTTTGATCTTGACACCTCCATCAACAAGGTCCACATTTGTGTCTGGCTTCACAGACAAATGCGTGACAACTTAAGTTAAGAGCAAGCAGGATAGAGAGTCAGTGATGACGAGACTGTCGGTGATGGTGATTTAAATAAATTTAATGGCTGAAAGTATGGCAACTAATTCTGTTTGTAGAATGGATGCCCACTTGTTAATTCTAATTCCTTTCTCAGTTACATTTCCATTAGGTTGATCATAACCTAACATCTTCATTTGCACTGAAAAGTGAGATAAGTCTCCTACCATTGGTGTTAGTGGTGGGGTCTTTTTCTTCATCATATAGATTACAGCTCCTCCCCGACTTACGACCTCCGACCACCTGGACATTCGACCGCCTGGTGTCCAGAAGACACACATCTGTAGCACACATCTTCTGGGGCCTTGCATTTTTTGGGTGGGTGACTGTACCGCTGACACTTGAAGCATCTGGTCTGTCATGGCACGTAAGATCTCACTCAGACGATGTCCCATCCCAGTGTGACCGTCTCTGGAAGTTTGTGGAAAAATCCAACTAGAGCCGAGGTGGATTTTCCGTCGGGTCTCTTAATTTCTCTCTGCGCGTCTATTTCTTCTTCTATGAGTTCTTTAATATCATTCTTGTTCATATGTTATACTTTGGCGTGGGAAATAGCTTCCCACACCTTAACGGGGCCGTCATCGATGACATTAAACGTTGCTAAGTTGTTTAGCCTGTCTCCAGTCACCGAAGGTGAGGGAGGCTGAGGACTGTGTGGCACTTCTAAGAAGTCAGCAATGACTGGGAGGCATAACCCTCTCACATAACCTCCAGTGTGACCAGCCAGGAACTCCTGGTTAAGTAGCCACTTCCTTTTTTATCATGACCCAGTTTGTCTCCAGCAAAGTAAAGGAATACAGATGTAAACCTTCCTTTTTTCTCTCTCTGGTGTTATCTCTATCAATACAGTACAGGCACCATCTACTTGTAGAGGTTTTCTATAAGTATATGCTGTTGTTTCTTCTCTAAAACACTGTCTGCTGTACTCGAGACTCCAGTATTGGTGGGACTGTGTTGGCTGATGCATGGCTGTGTGCTCATGATCACATTTGTAAATAACTGACGGTCTTAATTTATATGGAAACAAGACTTTTATCAACAAAGTCATTTCATAAGTTTTGAATATATTCTATCTCAATATGCTGTAAAAAAATTTGGAGAGTGAAAATGTTTTTATATTCCTGGGAACTGCCATAGAGCGGGTACCCCTACCAATGAGTTGTTCCAATGATCTAGATTGGAAACTTGATCCACCAGGACTGCCTTTGGGTCTGTTGGTATAAACACAAACTGCTCCAATACTTAACAGTGACTGAAACAACTGTAAGACATTCTAATGTTCATGGTTTTGATAGTGAAGCTGATTTACATCATCAACTGTACTACAATATTTTAGATAACTGCCTTGGTGAACTCAATGCTGAGTTTGGTGAACATAATATGAGATTACTTAGTCATTTCTAGTCGTTGGCCAGAATCCAAGACTTGTTTATTACTTCCGGAAAATCTTGTCCCATTGGCTAAACTCATAGGTGTCGACACAGAGTCGTCTCCTCTGGTAAGTGAATGTCATGTTGCTAAGTGACTTATTGAAGAATTTTATTGCCCAGTTCTCAAAAACATTGGTGAAAATTTCAAGATATCATATCCTTTCTGAAATGGATTAACTCAATACACAAGCTTTATGCGGCTGCCCTCACATTTGGTACAAGCACTGCAATATGTGAACACTCCTTCTCAACTGTCATATGCTTACACAATATAGGCATTCAATGACTCACCGTAGAAAAGTAAGCTGGTCTTGACTGTATTTTGGGCAGACCTTACACAGAAATTGAACTTGGAGGAAAAAGCAGGAAAATTAAATTGTTCTGAGTTAATTATCACTATCACATAATGAGTACAGTACTGTGTATATGGACGTTATTAATGGAAGGAATATTTTCTCATTATTTCTCTGTTGTCATTTTTTCATAAACATCATCAGTTTTCATTATTGTCTTGTTGGTTATTTGAGAAAAATTAATTTACATTCAGTTGTTCGTTGCTGTATTTCAGTTTATATAATTCTTTCCTGTAAATGTTATATACTTAAACTATCATTACATATATGTGTGTGTAGTTTAATAATTTATGAATTCATATACAGTATACATAAAATGTTGTGAGCTGACTCATTAGTTGTCATAAATAAAGTTAGTGTTCTGTTGTATAATTGGTTTTATTTCCAAATGGTTTCATTATAGAAATTACACCTAATAATGTCATATATGGCAGAGTCGTTAATAAATAATCTTGGCCCTCTTGGTCGTTGAACAAGCCCCCCCCCACTCGGCTATAAATCTGACAATGGGTCTTGCAGATAATTTACGATTTGATAAACAGCAACACCAACAAGAAGTCATAACTAAGGAGGGAAAATGAAATATAAGAACATAAGTTTCACTCATTAACCAATATTACTCAAAAGAAATTGGAAATGTATTTAAACTCATTATTATGGGATTTGATTCCAACAATATAATTCTCATAATTTATAATGTGCATAGAATAGGTTTAAGATCCTACTTAACCAAACGAAAAAATAAATAAGGGATTTGTGGAGATAATAGACTCATGAATCTGGATAGTAAAGCCTAAAAGAAAAAAACACAATCAATTTTATATACCCGTATATGGTAATAAAACCACCAATGTGAGGGTCTGTCATTTATTGACAAGTTAAGTACAGTATTACCGGAGTCAGTGTTTATTGGTTTAAGAGCGGACAACAACACAGGCTGCCACGTCATATTTTTTGGTAGATTGTTTACAGTAAATAGTTAATTTCTCTGTGTCAAAGAGCGTGGAGACATCATTTTAGTGTCACATGATCAGTTCTTCACCGTGTTTTACCCCGTACTCTCCGTCATCGTTCATGTCCTGCCCATTACAGGTGATTTATGTTCATAGAGAAGATATAAAAAAATACTGGTATTTATAATTAAAATAAAAAGTTGTGTTAATTTTTATTAGTTAATATGATATTATGTCATTTGTTGCCACCCAAAATTTTTTGATAATTTTATGGTTGCAATCAGTAGTTTTGATCACTCTAAAACACTTTTCTTCTATGGCATTTCTGTCACAAATTAAGTACTGTATAAGTGAGATATTTTACATTTTAGTTGCTGGTTTGTTAACCAATCAGATCTTGGCATAGTCTATCTGTTAGGCTAGTATGGTTTAGATTAGGTTATATATTCTATACTGGTGCAATCAATACAGTATACTTATATACTAATGCAAATTAATTACATACACTGTACACTCTTGTCCTATATGTTCGTAGGAAATGTCAAATTTTCCCCTAAAATCAAAACTTTTTAATTTATAAATTTGTACCAAAAAATTTCAAACAATAGAATCAAATCTTATATAACATTTTACATCCATCAAGCATAATTTCAACTTCCAAATGCTTGGTGGTAACAAGTAAAATTTGACCATTAATACTACATCATCCACAGAACAACTGTGGATAATATGAATCAAATATAAACACAGTACTGTGGTACTAAGGGACTCCACCACCACTACCCAGTACAAGTTATGAAGGTGTTATTTGACTGTGCTGGCTGGGCAAATATCCAAAGGGTATTTGACCGTTAGCTGCGGAGATTGTCTATGATTTTAATGGGATTGTGGACAGGATGGCTGTGGGCATTATTACACAAGTCATTAATGCTTAATCATTATCTCCCTTGTGATACTCCAAGATGTCCCACTTCTCTGATGGACATATAATGATGTAGGTTGAATTGGGTTAGGTTAGATAAACATTTTTTAGTCTATACCTGAACTGTATCATAACTGTTAAACGTTGAGCTGTTGGTTAATAGATTTATAATTTAATCATGTTCTATCTTCCTTTACGTGTTCCTATCTCTACTGTGTTACAATAGTTTAAAGTTATCAATAAAATAATATGTAGTATATTCTGGGGCCACAACAACCTTAGAACCTTCAAGATATTATATTATATTTATAATTTGTTAGTCAAATTGATACAGTAAAACCATTGGTAAATATATTGAATAATAATTATTGGCATACAATAATATGATATATAAGTGAGGGTAAAATAGTGCTATAAGCCGTGCCTACACAGCAAGTCTCTTACCTCCTCACAACTATTATAAGGCTCTCTCTCTCTCACACCACCATAATCCCTGCACACTTATCATTCATACTAAAACACAAATGAGTCCTCACAATACAATATTACAGCAATACAAACCAATTTTCTTCAGAATATTTTTCGATGCTGTGTTTGCATGGAGGAGGGCATGGCACACCACACCCTTCTTCCCAACCACACACTCTTCCTCCTAACCACTCCCTCTTCCTCCCATGCACATCCTCTTCCTCCCATCCACAAACACTACTTCCCATCCACACACCCAAAAGGTTGGGTGGATGGGAAGGGAGTTGGGATGGGTAGGTATGTGAGTTGGGTTGGAGGGGAGGTGGTGTAGGAGGAGGGTTGGGTGGGAGGGAGGGAGGGTGGGGGTGTTTGGGAGGGAGTGTTGGGTATAAGGAAAGGTGTGAGAGAGGGTGAGTGTATGGATGGGAGTGAGGGTGTGTGTGGGGAGGTCCTCCCATACACACACCCTCACTCCCATCCATACACTCACCCTCTCTCACACACCCAACCTCCCACCTTTAATGTGTGTGGATGGGACTAAGGTTTTCTCATTTCTTTCAGATTGTGCGCCTCCGAGGTGAACGTCTGACTGAAGTGAACGTGTGGCTGGTCGAGAACTCCTCCAAACAGGTAAAGTACTTATGACAATATATAATGTCTATATGCAAGTATTTATGAATGTTATGTTTTAAAGTTTTTTGTATTCCAGGTTTGTTTGTGTGGCTGACTGGACCTACTACAAGGTGCTTCTTGGAGGTAATAAAGGTAAAGTTTTTCAAGTTATAGTTGATAGCACTAACAGCACCGTAGTTAGACGTAGAATGCACAGTAGTAACTCCGCCTTGTTCAGTCGAACATGCCGGTCCCAAGCCCGGATAAAGGAGGAGGGCTACTGCAGTGTTGTATCTACCATCGCCACCTAACAAACTTACATTATAAATTGTTCTGAAAAAGGTAATGTGTTCTGTCAGCAACATAGAAAAAAATTACATATGTACTGTACATTGTGTACTATGTTTTTATATCTTTGTAGATAGGTAATACAAAATAAAGAATTGAATATACAGTATATTTTTTATTTTCATATGTATACACTACACATTTATTGCAATATACAATAACAGTCCAGAAGCTGATACAGAAATACAAAATATCCTTGGTCATATAGCCTGGTTTTATACCTGCACTGTCTAGGTACAGTATATATCAATTTACTGGCTATTCCTGCAGTCTTATGTTCTTAAACCTACATTACCAAATATTAGCACAGAAGAAAATCAGAGAAAACTTGTAATGATTGGCAACATCACTAGATATCTTTCTCCAGTGTCCCAAGAAATCACATTACAGTACCACTACCATTATTATTTCTCGGCAGATACATCAGTGATGGTGAGGCCGTCACATTACCAGCGGTTGTGGATTTCACAATTCAACCTTTATATTGCAGACTCCACATAAGGTGAGTTTATTTCACTAGACCTTAAGGTTTTATAAAGTATCTTGTCAGGTTTTGGTCCTACACAAAATTTAGCTTTAGATAATAATGGAAGTCTTGTACTTTGTGAATAATTTTGGCCAGGCACAGTACAGATATATTTCTAAATTTATCCGTTACCAAGTCTTTAGGGGGCGGGGTGGGGGGAGGGGGGTTCATAAGTTGTTTATTACAATTTTACAAGATTTTTTCTTCTATATTTTCAGGTAAAACACTTCCATTCAGCAATTGGTGTGCAGTGTCCAGATTGTCAACATTTAGTAAGTAAAATTCTTACTGTACTTTACTTTCATTTACTGTATATATACAATACTTTCAAATTAATAGTATGTATGCAATCAAAAATGTTCCTTACGGTCATGGCCGATGAATTTCAAAATGAACACGAGACGTCCGTTCTCTCGGTAAGGTTGTCAAAATCCTTTGTCCGAGGCGTCTGACTTAAATGCATTATTTGTGCCATCTGTGGGTATCTAGTAGTTTTGATTACATGTACCCAATAGGGCATCACATGGGCATTAGTTTGTAACAGTTGTACGTACAATGAATGGCACTTTGATGTCAATTGGTGATAATTATATGTAATTAATGTATATATCATGTTCTAAGTTACCCAGAAGCCATCATGTGGGTGTATCCAAGTTGATCACTTTAGTTCATGTTTCAGGTATAGTTTACAGTTCTACTGTACTTGTGGTTTATTTAGATCATTATCATTCAACTTCGGAATATGAAACGTAAAGTTCATTCAATATTTATTTATTTTGTTATACACAGACATTGTAGGAGTACAAACCATTACAAACACCTCCCAGTGCAAGTGCCTCTACCACTACAAACGCCTCCCCCGGTACAAACGCCTCCTCCGGTACAAACGCCTCCCCCGGTACAAACGCCTCCCCCGGTACAAACGCCTCCCCCGGTACAAACGCCTCCCCCTGGTACAAACGCCATCCCTCAACAAGCCACCAGAGGCCTTCCCACACTGAACAACAATTACATATTACACTTAATTTTACAAACCACTAAGAGAAATGGATCCGTGCGAGATATTCAAACCTCTCACAATCCGTTTGATTGATGTCCGTGTATCTCGTTGTACACCTTGCTGATACTTCACCTGTGGACGAAAAATATACAGTATTATAAAATGGAAATTTTTTGCAACCACAACAAAACTGACTACCACTGTAGTTAATAATGCTACTGTACATAATGTATCTTGTTATTTTTAATACTTTGTGTGGCTTTAATCAAGGTCCACTCCTACAGTCTTGAATGCATTAGTACAGTACTTTAAGTATTTTCTCAAGTTTTGCTAAATTATAACAAAAATATTTCCGTAATACTTAACTTTCACAGTACACTATTCTTACAGTAGTGTACAGAACACCAATTCTGTTCTTTCTTAGTAAGGTGGTAGTCCTCAAGGTGTGGGATGCTAGACAGTCGTGGTCACCTTGTTGTGTCTGGTCCATCTATCTTGTACACCAACCACCTGCAACATGATTATATTTGTTTTTAGATACTCTACATCTGAATTAATTAAGCTATTTTATATCACAACCAATACACAATATTGAGGTTAACTTGTACTGTATGTTCTTAAATGCACTATTTTAAGTAATATATCAAGTTTTGCTAAATTATATAAAAAAGGTTTCAGTAATACTTAACTTTTACATTACAGTACACTATTCTTAACAGTAGTGTACAGAACACCAATTCTGTTCTTTCTTAGTAAGGTGGTAGTCCTCAAGGTGTGGGATGCTAGACAGTCGTGGTCACCTTGTTGTGTCTGGTCCATCTATCTTGTACACCAACCACCTGCAACATGATTATATTTGTTTTTAGATACTCTACATCTGAATTAATTAAGCTATTTTATATCACAACCAATACACAATATTGAGGTTAACTTGTACTGTATGTTCTTAAATGCACTATTTTAAGTAATATATCAAGTTTTGCTAAATTATATAAAAAAGGTTTCAGTAATACTTAACTTTTACATTACAGTACACTATTCTTAACAGTAGTGTACAGAACACCAATTCTGTTCTTTCTTAGTAAGGTGGTAGTCCTCAAGGTGTGGGATGCTGGACAGTAGTGGTCACCTTGTTGTGTCTGGTCCATCTATCTTGTACACCAACCACCTGCAACATGATTATATTTGTTTTTAGATACTCTACATCTGAATTAATTAAGCTATTTTGTATCACAACCAATACACAATATTGAGGTTAACTTGTACTGTATGTTCTTAAATGCACTATTTTAAGTAATATATCAAGTTTTGCTAAATTATATAAAAAATGTTTCAGTAATACTTAACTTTTACATTACAGTACACTATTCTTACAGTAGTGTACAGAACACCAATTCTGTTCTTTCTTAGTAAGGTGGTAGTCCTCAAGGTGTGGGATGCTAGACAGTAGTGGTCACCTTGTTGTGTCTGGTCCATCTATCTTGTACACCAACCACCTGCAACATGATTATATTTGTTTTTAGATACTCTACATCTGAATTAATTAAGCTATTTTATATCACAACCAATACACAATATTGAGGTTAACTTGTACCTTATGTTCTTAAATGCACTATTTTAAGTAATATATCAAGTTTTGCTAAATTATATAAAAAAGGTTTCAATAATACTTAACTTTTACATTGCAGTACACTATTCTTACAGTAGTGTACAGAACACCAATTCTGTTCTTTCTTAGTAAGGTGGTAGTCCTCAAGGTGTGGGATGCTAGACAGTAGTGGTCACCTTGTTGTGTCTGATCCATCTATCATGTACACCAACCACCTGCAACATGGTTTGGATTTAGATCAATCTTGATTAGCCTTAATGTATTACTACCAATACACAACATTTACTCCAGAATTTCTTGGAATCTAAACTTGCATTCTTATATATATGTGATATATCCATACACTCAAACGCCCTCCTATATCACCTTACACAGGAGCATTGTCATTCTCACTTTTGGCTGCAGCAGTCTTCATCTAGGCATCATCCCCCACATGCCTTCATAGTACATGCTATTTTTTGCATCACATTTTTAACATGCACTCCATTCACCATTGCTTGAGCACACCACCATCCATGCATGAGCGCCCCCACTGTCTGGCGCCAGGTCACTATCTGGCCCCCACCCCCACTGTCACCGAGCACCCACCCCCCACTGTCTGGCCGCCCGTCCACTATACGAGGCACCCACCCCCACTGTACGAGCGCCCGTCCACTATACGAGGCCCCCACCCCCACTGTACGAGGCCCCACCCCCATTGTACGAGCGCCCCTGCACTGTACGAGCGCCCCTCCACCGCCCAATGCTCCTCCTTTCCTACCCTTCACACAAAGTAAGTCCCTCCTCTCGAGTCTTACTTCCATTAGTTTTTGGGGATGGCCATACTAAGGTACATAAGTAATTTACCTAAGAAGGCTTAAGTAACATGCTGGGTGTTACATCTTGCTCAAGGTGTCGGTCACTTCCTCTACATTGGCATTCACGTACGTCAGCTGTCACCTGCAACATGTTTAAAGTTGTAATTTATGTACAATGAAGATTAAACATACAATTTCCATCTACCACCAGACTACATGTACTTATACTGTCCCCAATTGTTTATTTTAATACCTTATCTACAAAAGATCTTATTTTAAGTTGCATTAGTGTTTTAGTTTTCTTGATACCTCAACAACTAACATTTACCACAACAATAGTATAACCAATCATAACAAGCCTTCATCACCAATACTGCTACACTACTAAATCTCTCCACACTGCTTCATACACAACAGTTTACCACTGTTCACTTACTGAATCCTCCCTCCCTTCCTCCCACCCCTCAAGCCCCCTTAGGTATTCCCCTTGACAACTTGGTCACATTTAGCTTGAATGAAAAACTTTACCAACACACCTGCTCACCCCATATGCCAACACACAAGCCATATTGTCCCCCCCACCCTAATTACAACAAGCCACACCCACACAATGTTTAATGATTTCACAAGTCCCACAAGCTTCCCTTGCCTAAATAAAACTCAGTAAGTTGACTTTACCTGTTCTGGCATTTTAAGTTATTTCTCCTTAGGTTCAGTATGATGTTACTTCTGGCCAGCTTAACCTGAGGAGAAAGTCAGTACAGTACACGATTAGATTTTGAAAAGGAAACTGCAAAGTACGCAAGCTATTGATTTTTAATAATTTAAACAAGTGAAATTTTTTCTAGCTTAACTTTCTGAATTCATGATCAGTTAACTTGTGGCAAATTTTAAGTTACATTCTTTAATATATTTGTTATCCAATATATAAACTATATAATAGGTAACTTAATATTAATTTGGGTTAGTCTAGATTAGTTACATTTAATCTATGTTAGGCTGATTAGGTTAGTTAATTTGTTAGTTAAAACCCACCTACTAACAACCAGCTTTACTTACTATTAATCACATTACTACTACTAATGCTCACTAATACTGTAACTAATTGGCATTTAGTCCTGTACATTTTTATAACACTTTATTAAGCTTTCCCAAATCTCTACAGCTAATCTTAATTTGACTCCCAGCTCAGTTTATCTAGACAGTCCACACAGCTCTCCAGAGCCCATGGTAAAATTGCAGTTTCGTCGAATATGCCCTCGTAGTTTAGAAATTCGTTTATCCTGTGTATTTTGGGTCGATTCAATGAAATGTGGCCTTTATTTCCAGGAGAAAGCACCCTCTTTAGAATTATATCCCCCCCCCCCCCAAAAAAAGCATGGAAATCTTTAAAACTCCTTTCTGACATTCTTTGCTCCCTGGTCAAAATGGTGTTAGAAATACTCCAATAAGGTGATCTAAAGGTTGGGGATGGTTAAAAGTCAGGCGTGTACTGGCCGAAACTGCAATAATACCGAGCCCTCCAACACACACACAGTCCTCCAACACACACACACACACAGTCCTCCAATGCACACACACACAGTCCTTGCGCTTACAGTCCTGCCTTTACACACAGTCCTCCAAGCACACACACAGTCCTCCAACACACACACACACCCCCCCCCACCCACACACACAGTCCTCCAAGCACACACACACAGTCCTCCCAACACACACACACAGTCCTCCAACACACACACACACAGTCCTCAACACACACACACACACAGTCCTCCAACACACACCTCCGCCACACACCACACACACCTCCAACACACACACAGTCCTCAGCACACACACACACACAGTCCTCCTGCCACACACACACACACACACAGTTCTCCAGAGCCCTCCAACACACACACACACAGTTCTCCAGAGCTCTACAACACACAGTTCTCCAGAGCCCTCCAACACACACACACAGTCCTCCAACACACACACACACAGTTCTCCAGAGCTCTACAACACACACAGTTCTCCAGAGCCCTCCAACACACACACACACACACACACACAGTCCTCCAGAGCCCTCCAACATTCACAGTCAGCCAGGTCCCACACACACACCCTCCACTGCCCAGTGTAGGAGCACAGTGTTGAGTGGTTTATGGGCTGACCATAATAGCTAAGATAATATATAACTAACTTAACTGATGAGGCTGAAGTAACATGCTGGGTGTTAAGTCTTGCTCAAGGTTCTGTCACTTCTCCATTGGCCTTCAAGTACACCAGCTGTCACCTGCAACATGCTTAAAGTTGTAATTTACGTAGAATGAAAATTAAACTTGCAACTTCCATCTACCACTACACCACGTGTACTCACTGTCCCCAACTGTTTACATAAACCATTACCTCCACACTAAAACTATAGCATTTTTAGATCTCATGGTGTTGTCCCGACCTCCGTAAAGTGTCATTAATGCAAGAACGAATGTAAGTGTCGTCAAGACCAACACATGTGGTAACTCCAACGAGAACCAGGCCAATAAGGTAAGAAATAAGGGATTCCAACATATGGCGAGAGTCGGTTAGATTAGGTCCGGTTTATGTTTTTATAGGGTTTTTTTTTTTTGCATTTTTCATTCGCTGAGCCAATATTTTTTTCGGGAAACACCACCAAAAAAATCTATAAAAAACGACCAATTTCCGACGGAAATGGAGGTCATAACCGATCTAAACACAAATACGCTAATATTATTTTGTTTTACTTTCTAATTGTTGTGTGCACATACAAATGGACCTTTTTCACCAGGAGACAACCAAGGAACCTCCAGGTTACGTTACGTTGTTAGGTTAGTTATGGTGCTTTTTGGTTGTTGACCAATGGGTTTTTCCGATTGTAAAATCCATGGTTGTCCACTTTTAAAAAATTACCAGGAACCTTAATGTTACGGGAATTAATATATACTGTATTCTGAAACGTCTAGCCCTCTAGCCAAGCCTAGCCTAGCCTAGCCCAGCCCCGCCCAGCTCCCTACCTCACCTTACCTTGCCCGGCTCTCTACCTCGCCTCGCCTCGCCTCGCCCCTTCCCTCGCCTCGCCCGGCTCCCTACCTCACCAAGCCCGGCTCCCTACCTCACCTCACCCGGCTCCCTACCTCCCTCGCCTCGCCCGGCTCCTCCACTTCCTCGCCTCGCCTTACCCAGACCGGCTACAGCTCGCTCCCTCTCGCTCCTCCCTCCCTCCCTTCCTTGCTCCTCCTCCTCCTCCTCCTTCCTTCCTCCCCAGACTCCCTACTCCTTCGCCTCACCGCCCGCCCGGCTTCCCTCCACCCCCTCCTTGCCCAGCTCCTACACCTCACCTCGCCTCGCCCGCCCGCTCCTTCCCTCGCCCCTTCCCTCGCCTCTTGGCTCTACCTCACCTCACCAAGCCCGGCTCCTACCTCACCCTCTTGGCTCCCTACCTCACCTCCCCACCCCCTACCTCACCCCTTGGCTCCTCCCCTCCTCCACCCCGCCCGGCTCCCTCCCTCGCCTCACCCCGCCCGGCTCCCTCCCTCCCTCCCTCGCCTCACCCCGCCCGGCTAGAACCCGTAATAAATTGTTTCAACTCCCAGAAATCGTAACTAAAGAGAAAGCAAAGAACTAGCCAGTAAAAATCCATCTTAATTCCGCCAAAAATACTTCTATTTGTGTTAAATCTAGTGAATGCGGCGCAGTTGTCAATGGTGAATACAGTGGTGGTGATGAACTGCGCAGTTGTTGAGTTATGACCACCCGGCTCCCCCATAAGTGTGTTGGGCTTCGAAGCAAGAAATAAAAAATAAATAAAACGGTAATCTAACCCAATCTGGTCATTGTACTCACTTACTGGTTAATTATTACCTAAATACTGATGAACGGTTTACGCTCGTTACTCACTACCGGCTCATAGTTTAGGCTCGTTTGTCATGACTCATTTGGCGGTATATTTGCCTAAAACATTAAGAAATTACTGGTTAGACGTTAGAGAGCCACTTAATATAATACTAATGTATTTGTTTAAGCTGCACAGTAGGTACCATGGGCCTTAGAGCCCAGTGAAACTTGGGGATACGACCCTATGAACTGCAACAACCGGCCGGCAAGTTTTGGACTTAAATCAGCATTTATTACGCCATAATTAAGTATATTAAACACTACCCAAAAGAATAACCATTTCTCTTGGCCATTTGGACTGTAGGCAGTCGGGCAAAAAATGTACACGTATATAAAGGAGACTAGAGGAGCGGCGCTTACCTGCCTGTCAGCTGCAGTCAGTGAGTGGCGAGTGGTCGGTGAGGAAAGGGACGAAGGCCAGTTAGTCGAGGCCTTATATGTCAAGGTTCACAGTGACGTCACGAAGCTTCACTGAACCATTTTTTTGCTTCATTGAAGCATTTTTTTGCTTCATTGAAGCATTTGAAGCTTCGAACTTGTATATACGTTAAAATACGTAAAAACGTCAAATTTGTGGCCCGATTTAACTTTTCATTAACTTTAAGGGAATAATACAACGAAAACAGTGTCCCAGAAGGAAAAGAAAAGCAAAAACAAAGCAAAACGGCTCTGTGAGCGGCAGTTTTTGGAGTAACTATTATATTTAATCACAGAAAACGGAGCAGATATTTAATCATAGAAAACGGAGGAGGGGTAACTATTATATTTAATCACAAAATGGAGGGGTAACTATTATATTTAATCACAAAATGGAGGGGTAACTATTATATTTAATCACACAAAACGGAGCAGGAGTAACTATTATATTTAATCAGTGTTCAGTCACAGCCAATATATTAAATATTGACCTCATAGATAATTTTTCTATTAAATTTGTTTATATCTTGACAGTCTCGGTCTGTCCTTCACTGTCGACAACAGTATTGAAGTAGTTGGGTTGGTTGGTGATACAGAGATGAACCATTAGCTCTGAGGGTGCAGTACCAGGCCGGTCTCAGTCAGGCCAAGTTATTCTATTTCATGTTTTCTTGGGCCTTTATATGTTAGGGGAGTCCCTCCATGATCCTTGTGTCACTAGAAGGATGATCCCCATCTTTTTTGTTTCTAGTTTTTATTATAGTTTTGGTAATATTGGATATTTTTGTTATTTCTCCTTTATTTCTGCATATATTTCTTTTTTGATTTATTTATTTAGTTTATTTTGTATTTCCTAATTACTAGTTAAAATAAATAAAAATTTACCAATTGTTCACTCAATTATTTAAATAAATTGTATAAGCATTTAATATTTAAGAGAGAGTCACTTTGGTAAGGGAAACTATGTCATGTCCTGTAAGTTTATTTTACTCTCTCCTCTTGGTCACAGATCGTCTTGTTACTTCACACTCTAGTGCCTCTTGAGTTATTCTAAAGGTATAAACTATATTTACTGTGTTATTACCGTACATATGGTGGTCCTCAGTCCACATTCCTGCCACTAGGGTCCAGGTACAGGGTGTATTAATATACCTTCTCAGTGGAAACTTTTCTTTTTTTACAGACACTGTACTGTACGTCGCCGCTCTTCAGTGACTACATCACAACACATTCACGTAAAGAGTTCTCAGTTAAATCAGTCGTTGTAAACAAGGAAATAAATAACTTTCTCCTATTATAACTGACTTTTAACTCACCCTGTTAAAGCTACATTTATTAACATCAGTTGTAACATTAATGAGGGACATCTGTACTGTACTGTACATCAGTTGTAACATTAATGAGGGACATCTGTACTGTACTGTACATCAGTTGTAACATTAATGAGGGACATCTGTACTGTACTGTACTGTACTGTACATCAGTTGTAACATTAATGAGAGATATCTGTACTGTACTTCAGCTGTAACATTAATGAGGGACATCTGTACTGTACTGTACATCAGCTGTAACATTAATGAGGGACATCTGTACTGTACTGTACTTCAGTTGTAACATTAATGAGAGACATCTGTACTGTACTGTACTTCAGTTGTAACATTAATGAGAGACATCTGTACTGTACTGTACTGTACATCAGTTGTAAAATTAATGAGGGACATCTGTACTGTACTGTACTGTACATCAGTTGTAACATTAATGAGGGACATCTGTACTGTACTGTACTGAAATGTACTGTACTGGACTGTACATCAGTTGTAACATTAATGAGGGACATTTGTACTGTACTGTACATCAGTTGTAACATTAATGAGGGACATTTGTACTGTACTATACTTCAGTTGTAACATTAATGAGAGACATCTGTACTGTACTGTTCTGTACTGAACTGTACTGTACTCATTTGTACTGTGCTGTGCTGTACTGTACTATTCTGTACTGAACTGTACTATACTGTAGTGTACCGTACTGTACTATACTGTACTGTACTTTTCTGAACTGTTTTGTATTGTACTGTGCTATACTGTACATCAGTTGTAGCATTAATGAAAGACATCTGTATTGTACTGTACTATACTGTACATCAGTTGTAACATTAATGAGGGACATCTATACTGTACTGTACTGTACTGTTCTGTACTGTGCTATACTGTACATCAATTGTAGCATTAATGAGAGACATCTATACTGTACATCAGTTGTAGTATTAATGATGGACATCTGTACTGTACTGTACATCAATTGTAGCATTAATGAGACATCTGTACTGTACATCAGTTGTAGTATTAATGAGAGACATCTGTACTGTACTGTTCTGTACTGTGCTATACTGTACTGTACATCAGTTGTAGCATTAATGAGACATCTGTACTGTACATCAGTTGCAGTATTAATGATGGACATCTGTACTGTACTATTCTGTACTGTGCTATACTGTACTGTACATCAGTTGTAGCATTAATGAGACATCTGTACTGTACTGTTCTGTACTGTGCTATACTGTACTGTACATCAGTTGTAGCATTAATGAGACATCTGTACTGTACTGTTCTGTACTGTGCTATACTGTACTGTACATCAGTTGATGCATTAATGAGAGACATCTGTACCGTACATCAGTTGTAGCATTAATGAGACATCTGTACTGTACATCAGTTGTAGCATTAATGAGAGACATCTGTACTGTACTGTTCTGTACTGTGCTATACTGTACTGTACATCAGTTGTAGCATTAATGAGAGACATCTGTACTGTACATCAGTTGTAGCATTAATGAGAGACATCTGTACTGTACATCAGTTGTAGCATTAATGAGAGACATCTGTACTGTACTGTTCTGTACTGTGCTATACTGTACTGTACATCAGTTGTAGCATTAATGAGAGACATCTGTACTGTACATCAGTTGTAGCATTAATGAGACATCTGTACTGTACATCAGTTAGAGCATTAATGAGAGACATCTGTACTGTACATCAGTTGTAGCATTAATGAGAGACATCTGTACTGTACATCAGTTGTAGCATTAATGAGACATCTGTACTGAACTGTAAATGAATTGTAGCATTAATGAGAGACATCTGTACTGTACATCAGTTGTAGTATTAATGATGGACATCTGTACTGTACCGTACATCAGTTGTAGCATTAATGAGAGACATCTATACTGTACATCAGTTGTAGTATTAGTGATGGACATCTATACTGTACTGTACATCAGTTGTAGCATTAATGAGAGACATCTGTACTGTACATCAGTTGTAGTATTAATGATGGACATCTGTACTGTACTGTACATCAGATGTACCATTAATAATGGCATTACAGCTCCATTTATTTCTATAAATTGAAAGGTAAAGTCTACATATCTCCCTTAATATTGATCTAATTGATCTGAAATTAATTATGAGCAAAGAAACCTTAGCTTAAAGTGCCACTTTGTTCAGTGTTCTTATGAATGCAGCAGATGAGTGCTAACAGGCATTAGTCGATCCATAGTTTACCATGATGAGGTGTATCAAGTGAAACAAGTATATGGAGCAAGTAACAACATCACTACATTATAAGATGTTGTAACTGATAGACTAAGGTTAGGATATAAGTACCTCTGGCAGTATGTTCCTCAAGCAGATGTGAACAACACTATATGTAGTGTGTGGCCAGACATATGGCCACACTCTGGCAGTATGTCCCTCAGGCAGATGTGAACAACACTAGATGTGAAGTGTGTGGCCAGACATATGGCCACACACTGGCAGTATGTCCCTCAGGCAGATGTGAACAACACTAGATGTGAAGTGTGTGGCCAGACATATGGCCACACTCTGGCAGTATGTCCCTCAGGCAGATGTGAACAACACTAGATGTGAAGTGTGTGGCCAGACATATGGCCACACACTGGCAGTATGTCCCTCAGGCAGATGTGAACAACACTAGATGTGAAGTGTGTGGCCAGACATATGGCCACACACTGGCAGTATGTCCCTCAGGCAGATGTGAACAACACTAGATGTGAAGTGTGTGGCCAGACATATGGCCACACACTCCAAAACTACATCCTTAACTGTGTGAAAATAGAACCTGAATATTAACCCTCAAGTGCAGTACAGAACAGTACAGTATAATATGGATCAGTACAGAACAGAACAGAACAGTACAGTACAGAACAGTACAGAACAGAACAGAACAGAACAGTCCAGTACAGTACAGTACAGTACAGAACAGTACAGTACAGTACAGTACAGTACAGTACAGAACAGTACAGAACAGAACAGAACAGTACAGTACAGAACAGTACAATACAGTACAGTAGTCCCTCATTAATACTACAACTGACATACAGTACAATACAGTACAGTACTGTATAATATAGATCAGTACAGTACAGGGTTAAAGCTTCACATATAACAAAGACAATGTTGAATCTTGGTCGAACAAACACTTAAACAGTCACCAGGAAAGTGATCTGGACAATAAATACTGACTCCAGTTTACTGTATACACAATGTAATAAACTAGTGACCCAAATTTATATAAAACACTCGTCTCTATGAGTTATTGGCAGTCACCTTCAACCCTTGCCATCATGTTATTTAATAATATTCTATCTAGACTCATTTCCAGCAATAATTACGGTCATAAAACAGTAAATTATCATAAATATTACCTTGGCTCCTCCCCGGGCGTCGTCCAGACCAATCTAACATTTGGCTCTCAACTCAAAATATAAACCAGCCATGGAATCTTCTGCTCATTAGATTCCATAAATACAAAAACCTATTATTTTACTGCTTCTTTACTCGTAATGAATTTTAGGGCAATTACAGCAATATTAATTCAAGATATCCACATACAGTATCTGAAGACCAGCCATTACTGTACACATGTTCTACAATATTGAGGTTAAAATAAAATATTCAGCAATAGTTTAAATACTTATATGTCATTCTGTAAGATATTAATGTTTGTGGCACATCATGGCCAAACATAAAGTGTATACAGGCAGTCCCCGAGTTACGACCGTCCGACTTACCATCACCCGCACTTATGAACGGGATCACATTCACTGCAATTTTTTTTAATTAAAATCCCAATTTTTTCATTAGTTTATAATTATATATTGTTTAACATCACTTTATTTACATTATTTGTTATATATGGGATATTATTGTTGTTTTGTATGGGCTTTAACCTAACCTAAACTATGGGTCCAGGAACTTATCCCTGTTGTAAGTTGGGGGCAGCCTGTATTAACATAAAACTATATATTCAGGTGCACAAAATTAATGCCATTCTTGGAGCAATCATTTTTTAAACACCATTGTTAGATAAACACATGCCAGTACTATTAGGAAAAGTTGTATATAAGAACAGCAAATACCTAAATACTGTTTGTTAATTTCAACAAGTCTTCTGCTTGACATGATCAAACAACAAATTTTAACCCAGAGTTTGACATTTCAGCATTGGCTACTATAAGAAAATGACTGCCCAAGGATGAATTTATATATAACCAAGAAGAGTTACCTAACTAAGGTCCAAGATGCTAACTGAACAATATATTAAACATGATATTATATACAGTTAAGAGGTGTTAAAGTTCATCTGCCCCATAACACCAGGTACTATATATGAACCCTAACCATTATTTACCAGACAATGGTACCATATATGTGTAAGTGATGAAAGAATATATTTAAAACATGAATCAAAACTACCAACCAAATTAGTTGAGATAAAATATAAAAATATCTCGTCAGAGTTGAGCAAAACTTATCAAGTATTTACGAACAATTTCAAGAGAGATTGAAGAGTTTCCGTGAGATAATGACAACACCTTGACTATAACAAATGGTCTACCACCACTGTACTACTTTACCAAGATGATTTACTACCCGTGTTAATGTACGTACTTGTGATAAAACTTACGTCACGTGTAAATAAAGACAGACGAATACGTTTGACACAACTAGTGAAGCACAAATTATAGTAAATGAGAGTTCATCAATGTTCAACACAACTTATCTAGTGAAGATGAAATTTTAAGCACATAGATGATAAGTTTAACCATTGCTTACTACTGTACTGTAAACAACATTATTATTACGAGTGATTTATCACCAACACCAAATGTCTACACTAAGGCCATGGTAGAAGAAATTTACATCTTAAGAGCAGATAATTATAACTTGTGCTTAATATCTATAAAAGTGGCATTTGTCACTTGTCTTTATTTCAGCTACATTCATAGAGTTTGTTCAAGTGGTTTTATATTGATGTATATCACTGTATTCAAGTTTATGTGTCACATTTACCTTCTGTTAAAGTCATTCAAACATTTATTGAATTCTGTTTTTTTCATGCACAAGTTTATGACGTTTGAGATGACCCTTGCGTGAGAAACATTTCCCACATTCCTCACATTCAAACTTCTTTATACCATTGTGTACAAGAATGTGATTCATGAGAATACCCTTCCGGGAGAAACATTTCCCACATTCCTCACATTCAAACTCCTTCACACCATTGTGTCCTAGAATGTGTCTCTTGAGAGTACCCTTCTGGGAGAAACATTTCCCACATTCCTCACATTCAAACTTCTTTATACCATTGTGTACAAGAATGTGATTCATGAGAATACCTTTCCGGGAGAAACATTTCCCACATTCCTCACATTCAAACTCCTTCACACCATTGTGTCCTTGAATGTGTGTCTTGAGAGTACCCTTCCGGGAGAAACATTTCCCACATTCCCCACATTCAAACTTCTTTATACCATTGTGTACAAGAATGTGATTCATGAGAATACCCTTCCGGGAGAAACATTTCCCACATTCCTCACATTCAAACTCCTTCACACCATTGTGTCCTAGAATGTGTCTCTTGAGAGTACCCTTGCGTGAGAAACATTTCCCACATTCCTCACATTCAAACTCCTTCACACCATTGTGTCCTAGAATGTGTGTCTTGAGAGTACCCTTGCGTGAGAAACATTTCCCACATTCCCCACATTCAAACTTCTTTATACCATTGTGTACAAGACTGTGTATCTTGAGATAAACCTTCAGGGAGAAACATTTCCCACATTCCCCACATTCAAACTCCTTTATACCATTGTGTACAAGAATGTGTTTCTTGAGAGTACTCTTCCAGGAGAAACATTTCCCACATTCCTCACAGGATAACTTTTTATCTCTGCTTGACATTGTGAACTTCTTCTTAGTTACACTTGGTCTTGAGATGTGACATCACAGTATCTGAAACAAAATATTTTGCCTTAGATAATATTCTTATAAAAGTACAATTTATAAATGAAAACTACAAGTGACTAAATCAATTTGTGTAAAATAAGAGTAAAAATAATTTAAAAGTATAAAATAAAAAGGTTATATTAATCTACACCGCAAAGATGACGGAAAACCAGCTTTTTGAAGTGACAGATTGCATGGGTATGGAAACACAGAAGGCAGAGCATTCCACAGTGTGAGGAAAGAAGGAGGTACTATAATGGGTTATTATAGTGTTACCCACATCCACAGAGAGACAGTTTGGCTGTGTGAGTAAAGAAGGATGTACTATAATGGGTTATTATAGTGTGACCCACATCCACACAGACACAGTTTGGCTGTGTGAGTAAAGAAGGATGTACTATAATGGGTTATTATAGTGTGACCCACATCCACACAGACACAGTTTGGCTATGTGAGTAAAGAAGGATGTACTATAACGGGTTATTATAGTGTGACCCACATCCACACAGACATAGTTTGGCTATGTGAGTAAAGAAGGATGTACTATAACGGGTTATTATAGTGTGACCCACATCCACACAGACACAGTTTGGCTGTGTGAGTAAAGAAGGATGTACTATAACGGGTTATTATAGTGTGACCCACAACCACACAGACACAGTTTGGCTATGTGAGTAAAGAAGGATGTACTATGGGTTATTATAGTGTGACACATCCCACACAGACATAGTTTGGCTATGTGATGAAAGGATGTACTACTCTTGAGTTATTATAGTGTATTTGTCCACACAGGCTTTAGTTTGGCTGTGTGTGAGTAAAAGAGATGTACTTCTGGGTTATTATTGTGTGACCCACATCCACACAGACACAGTTTGGCTGTGTGAGTAAAGAAGGATGTACTATAACGGGTTATTATAGTGTGACCCACATCCACACAGACACAGTTTGGCTGTGTGAGTAAAGAAGGATGTACTATAATGGGTTATTATAGTGTGACCCACATCCACACAGACACAGTTTGGCTGTGTGAGTAAAGAAGGATGTACTATAACGGGTTATTATAGTGTGACCCACATCCACACAGACACAGTTTGGCTGTGTGAGTAAAGAAGGATGTACTATAACGGGTTATTATAGTGTGACCCACAACCACACAGACACAGTTTGGCTATGTGAGTAAAGAAGGATGTACTATAACGGGTTATTATAGTGTGACCCACATCCACACAGACACAGTTTGACTGTGTGAGTAAAGAAGGATGTACAGTGACCCCTCGTTTAACAAACGCCTCGGTTAACGAAATTTCGGTTAACGAACTGCCTTCCATAAGGATCTACAATTCGGTTAACGAACAAAAATTCAGTTAACGAATTTCTTACGAACCGACCTCAACATGTTTTCGCTTGCACTGGCCGGGCAACCAGCTTTAGTATCAGTCCGCCAATACATTAATCGGTTTTAGGGCTTAAATTCCTTACTATTTTAGTAAATATCAAGAAGTTTATACTATTCAATAATTTTAAAAGTTTAATATTCAATTTTTTAGTCATTTTAACAATTATTGAACATAATTGAAGGTAAAGTGACTAGTTTAATGCGCGGCATCCAACCTCTTAACACAGCAAACAGGAGTTAGTCTCTCTGTTTTCACTGGAGGTAACATCTTGCTTGAGACTCTCTTCAACTAAACGCTTTTTTTCTGTGTTTCCAAGCAAATTATTGGTCATTTTGAAATATATTTTACATATTG